CAATGGAAGATTATTCATCATGAAAAGGAATGAAGGTCTGATACATGCAACTGTGTGGTTGACCCTTGAAAACGTTACGGTAAGTGAAAGAAGCCAGGCACAAAAGTTATATATTAAATGGTTCAATTTATGGGGAATGTCAAAATAGGACAATCCATAGAAATAGAGCAAAGGTTCGTGATTGAAAGGGCCTAGAGGGGGTGGTTGCTTATGTGTATGGGCTTCCTTCAGAGGCAATAAAATGTTTTAGAAGTAGTTAGAAGTGATGGGTGCACAACCTTGAAAATGTACTAAATGACTCTGAATTGTACACCAAAATGGTTAATTTTTTAAAAATTGGCAAAGACCACCTTAATTTCTTTTTCAAAAATGCTATTACTATCTGTTGATTTGGTCTTCATGGAAATCTTGTGGAGGGAGTAGGATTGGCAACTTTTTTTTTCTAGGTTTATGGTTGAGAAAAATGAGGCTGCAGATTTGCCCAGTTGAGAAGCTAAGTGGTGGCAGCTCAGATCACACTACGGTCTCTTGGTCTCAAACAACAGGTCCCTGATTCCAGGACCAGCCTAGTTTCTCACAACCACCTGGCATTCTTTTGCCCTGTCCTGCTGGCTCAGTGCCCTCCTCAGGAGATACTGTGGCTCTGTGGACAGCCAGGCAGAGGAGGCCAAGGGGACTTTAAGGTCATCTGCAGAGGTCCTCCTTCCTTGAGCCACAGTGAGGCTGGACTGATCCTTTCCAGGTGTGGACCAGGTAGGATCCTTGCAGAGGGCAGAGCCCGGTGGGTGACACAGATTTGCTTCTTACTGTTATCTGAAGATGACAATGGAGGTGCTTTGTTGAAAACCACTACACACTTTCCCAGCGTCCTCTGGAGTCTGGCTGGTGTCTCAAGTCACCTGGTTCGACAAAGTCAGGGTGCAAGCAGACTGGAAAGGTTTGGAAGTACAAGAGTGACCCAACACTGGCCCCTCCTGTGTCGTGGATTGCTCAACCTCCTCATTCATATTTTACCGCCCTGGATCATAGGAAATAGAGGGCCAAAGAGCACAAAAACCTGGGAAGATGGCATTTAAAACAGGTCCAAGGAAGTCAGGGTTTTTCCCATGATGCACTTGAACATCCATCTGGAGATTTGGAGGGAAATCCAGTGAACTGCTTCTGTTTAAGCCCCTCATGCCTTTGAATTGCAAAAATAAAACTAATTAACAATAAAAGATACTAAAATAAAAAGACCCCCAGGGCTTCCACAGTTCCATCAAGGAAATGAGGGATCTCTCACCTCTGCACCAGTCTGTCAGGAGCCCCACTGCATGGGGCCACTCTTGCTCAAACTCTGTCCTGTACCATCAGAATTGAGATGCTGGCACCTGCTTGGTTGTGGGTTGTTTTTTTTTTTTTTTGGTACCGGGAATTGAACTCAGGGGCACCTGACCACTGAATCACATCCCCAGCCTTATTTTATATTTTATTTAGAGTCAGGGTCTCACTGAGTTGCTTAGTGCCTAATTTTTGCTGAGGCTGGCTTTGAACTCACGATCCTCCTACCCAGGGACACAGAAGCCCGCACCCCATCCCTCCCTGAAGAGGTCAGTCCATGGCTTGGTAGCCTTCTTTTTAATCCCTCAGTACACATAGGGTCCTGGCACTCCTTCCCCGCTGCCCCACCAAGGTGCTGCTGGCCACTCTGGTGGCCTTGGCAAGTGTGCTAATGGCATTCTCAAGGTACCTTTCCGATGTTCCCTGGATACAGTCCACTACTTCATTTCAACCACTTGCGAAGTCACAAGGGAGAACTTAAAACCTGTAAAACAGCCCTGCTCCGCTTCTCTGGACTTGGAATGGAGTTAGCCTGTCCTGTCACCTCATGCTATGGCCCCGGCTTCCAGGATGTCTCCCACACAGATTTCACCCTCCCTTTTAAGGAGCCCGCCTCTGTCCCCACCTCTGTTTTCCTCACAAACAGAGCCTCATGGGACCAAAGAGAAGGACCACAGGTGCCAGCTGGGCCCCTGGAGAGGTCTAAGGGATATTACTCTCATCCCCAGCCTGGCCCTGGTTGGGCATCTTTTTTCTAAACTGCCTTTAGAATCTGGTAGCCATGAGCTGGTAGCATCAGGAGCTTGAACTGGAGGTAGCAAGGGGTCAAGCAGAGTCTATACCCTAAACTAATTCAGCAAAAAAAGGGAAAGCCTCAGAATCTCAAGATTTCTATCTCTTTGTAGGTTATTTATTTTCAGTGCTGGGGATTGAACACAGGGCCTTTTGCATACTAGGCAAGAGCTCTGCCATTGAGCTACACCCCAGCCCTCTTTGCAGTTTTGAATTCAGTAGTTTCTCTCTTATCTGCAGTTTCAGTCACCTCTAATCAACTGAAATCTGAAAATATCAAATGGAAAATTCCAGAAATAAACACTTTTAACTTGCATGCTATTTTGAGTAGCATAAAATCTCATGCTGTCCCACTCCAGCCTCACCCAGGTCATGGCGTATCCACACTGATACACTACTTGCCCATTGGTCACTCAGTTGCCCTGTTGACTGGCATGGTTACTACAGTGCTAGGTTCAAGTAACCCCCATTTCACCTCACTCCATCACAAAGGCATTTTACCATCTCATGTCATCAAGAAGGATAAATATACTATATTTTGAAAGACTACATTCATATAGGTTATAGTATGTTGTTATAATTGTTCTATTTCATCATTAGTTGTTTCTTTTACTGTGTATAATTTGTAAATTTTATTAATAGTCATGTACATGTAGGAAAAAAAACAGTACACTCTAGGGTTCATTACTATCCAGTTTCAGGCATCCACTGGGGGTTAGAACATGTCCCACAAGGATGAGGGGGAGCTGCCAGAGTTGGAAGTCCTGTGCTTCGGGCAAGCCCATCTCTCCTCCAGGACTATCTTTAAAAGGAGAGTTGGAAGCATCAAGGCTTTAGAAGGAACAGGAGATCCAGGGGAGTGTGGGCAGCTGACTCTGCCCCAGGAGACTCCCGTAGCTCCTATTTAATTCAGTCTTGTGAACAAAAGGCAATTACAAAGAAAATGGCCACCTAGGAGGAGGCAGGGGTCTCTGTGGGGTGTTCCTAGGGAACAGAAAGGGCTTGACCAGGACAGGTCCACTGGGCACTGTGTTGAGGTGACCAAGAGATGGAGCCTCTCTGCCTGACCAGGCAGCCATTCCTGTGTTCAGATGTGATTGAAGCAGCCCAGGTCCTCAGGAAGCCATCAAATGACCTGACAGTCACCAAATTCCAAGGCCAGGCAGAACTCTCCAGCTCTCTAAGGGAAGGCCTCAACTGCTAAGGCTTTGCCACTCACGGGGCATCCTCTCTTTGGTTTGTTCCTTGTGATCAAACAGCACTGGGGGCAGGAGGGGGGGAGTGTGGATTTGGCTGAGGTCAGAAGTTTCCAGCTGAATGCAGTCCTTAAATGCCTTCTCTCTGAACCATATAGTGTGTTTTGTTTTTTTGGTGGTGCTGGGGATTGAACCCGTGGCCTTGTCCATGGGACAAGCACTCTACCAACTGAGCTACATCCCCAGCCCTGGACCACATAGTGTTGATAAAACAATTTGAATTGATCTGGTGTTTGTAATCTGGTTGACATCCATAAAAATGCCTGATTTTTCTTGAAAAATCAGATGTGACCACAGGCCCAGATTCCCACAGGTAGCACTGCCTCCTCTAGGGGGCACGTGGGACCTCAGGTGCCCCCTGGTCACCAGCACTTCCTTTTGTTTTTCCTTGTTACCTTTTCTGTTACTCTGGCCTTGAAGGTCTCTTAAGTCTCGAGGCAGCCTCAACTATCTCTGCTCTCCAAGTAGGAGGCTTCTGCAGCAAGAGGGGAGAGGGAGAATTCAAAGGCCTCCATTTTCCACCTAAGAGGAGCCCACAGTGTATTTTTATACATATGAGAAAACTCTGAGGCGAGCCTGAGTCCCACTTGATCCCTTCTCCAGGCGCAGTCGCCACTTCACTCCAGCCTCTTGGTAACCTAAGACCTGAACACCCTGAACCGGGGAGCCAAGCTCATTTTGTTTTGTGCACAGCCAGTGGGGAGGAGAGGACGAGTCCGGACTCCCCAAGGACCTGCAGTCTTGGCAGTGATCCATTTAAAGGTGTTCAGTGACCATGTGCCCAGCACAAGGGGTCCTCCTGCCTCTCCCCTTTCTTCCCAGTTCTGTCTGGTGCAGTTAGCACAATGTGAGTGCCGCTGCTTTACCTTACGTCCCTTAAAACAGATTCAGAGTTCCTCTTTGAAATAAGACCCAATCACTTACTTCTTAGAGATCCCTCTCTTAGTATGCCACGAGGATGAAATTTCAACATGAGCTTTGCTGAGGACATTTACACCACAATATCTGCCACACATTTAGGGAGATGCAGTCCTGGGAAAAGAATTCTGGTTCTGACTTCCCAATTTACAGACCAGTGGTCTGGGGGGAATCAATTTCTCTGCCCTCTTCCATTTCTCCAGGGTGAAGGTAGCAAGACCTGTTTGCCTGCATTTCAGGGGCCACATGTGGGGGCGTCTGGGAGTGGGCCCCGAACCGAGGCTGTGGGATGACTCAGTAGGCCAGGGCTGGCATCAGGAATCTGCCTTTTATACACCTCTGTGTACCTTGTGTCTGCAGTGCTAGGTCAGTGGCCAAGGCTGGCCTCTCAGAGCAGGCAGGAGACGGCAGTGAGCAGCTGCAGCAGGGGGAAGCCTTCAGATGCGGCAGTGCAGGGCTCTGCGGGGCTTCAGGTTGCGGTCTGATGTTCTGTGCCTCAGTGCTCTCCAAGCAAGGGATTCACTTCACTAACTCGGCACATACTAGGTTAGAATAAAACCATTTACAAGAGGAATTGTGCCTTCTTTGACTGGAACTCCAAGCCTGGGACCCAGCAGCTTCCATGTGACCGTGAGCCAGCTCCACCCATGGGTACCACATAACCAGGACCACGCTAAGCCCCATGCACATGTATCTACTTCAGCTTTACAAATATTCTGTGAAGGTTGTAGCTTTATTTCACAGATGGGAAAATAAACTCAGAGAAGCCTAATTCACATAGCTCAACAACCAGCGGGGATTAAGGCTTTGGTAAACAATTGATGCCCTGTCCCTCATACCCAGTAGGCACCCAACTGATTCATGTTGAAAGTTTCATAATTAAATAACAAACCACCTCAACTCAAGGCAGGCTTATCAGATCCACTCACCTAACCTCAGTATCTGATCAGCCTCAGAATCCTAGAGATCCTGCCCCCTCGGCCCTGGTAGTCTGCCTATGCCTACAACACTGATTTACTCCTGTTTCTAGAATACAGTGCGTATGTGACTCTCCTGGGATCTTCTACACAGACTGGTTCAGTAGGACCAGCTGGCCTGAAATGCTGCATTTCTGAAAACCAACTGGTCGTCTGAAGTGGAGGTCCAGGACTTAGCCCTGTTTTCTGCCTGGCTCCAGCCAATCATTGCTGAGTTTCAGATTAAGCCATGTCAGAAAGGCCCCCAGCCCTCAGCTGAGCAGAGGCCACCTCCTGCTGGCACAAGTTGGGGGCCCTGCAAGGGCAGGAGCCACTCTGCTCCCCTGGGACAGTGCCGAGTGACTTTCCCTCCAAGGACAGGTCTCTGGGCACTCACTTCTGTGCCAGTACTACAACCCTGAGGAGGCCCAGCCCAGAGCAAAGCGGGGCAGCAGGCTCATGGCTCTGGAGACCTGGACAGTCTCCACGCCCATCCACATGCCCAGTTTGCCTCAGCCAAACAACTGAGCAACAGACAACTTGAAAAAGCCCAGCTTCCTGTGAGACCTGCCTCCTGCCCCGGCCCTCCACCTGCCATCAGCCCAGTCACTGCTCAGAGAGGTGCCTCTCTAGTTTCTGTCAAAGTCAGAAGGTAAGCACCAGGGTGGAGAGGGGAGAGAGTGGGGAGATGGAGAGTCTCCCTAGGCCTGAGAGCACCCTCTCCTTTCCCAGCCCCCACTCAGCTATGCAGGGCCACCTCCTTGTCCTGTCACTCCCCAGCATGACAATCTGCCACTGCTCACCTATTTTAAGCAACGAACCCTCTTGCCCTAGGTCAGGGTGGCCCCCTTGGGGTTTGAGGGTCAGGTGAGATAACATGTACTCGGCTGGACAGCCCATCCACCAGGTGCAGGCTCCATCAAACCATTCAACCCTAATGCTTGCAGAACAGAGAAGATATTTTCTAACAGAGTTATTCAAGTTAATTTCTAGTGATTTTTAAATCCCATTATGCATCCCAACCCCATTTCTCTTTTGATCCTGGCGACTGGACCCAGAGGTGCTTTACACTGCACTATATCCCCAGCACCTCTGTCCCCGGCCTTTTAAAATTTTCTATTTTGAAACACAGTCTCACAGAGTTACCCAGACTGGCCTTAAACTTGCCATCCTACTGCCTCAGCCTCCTGAGTTGCTGGGATCACAGGTGTGTGCCACCTGACTATATCCTACTTTTTCTACAACCTCAAAGTGTCTTGTGTCCGGGGACACTACTGCTCCATCAGAGGGTCTGAGCTGGGGATGGGGCCATGATCCTCCACCCGTGGCCCAGGCTGTGACAGAAGGTGGGACAGTAGGACGGCGATGTCCGTACAGTCCGAGGTGACCCTTGCTGGACTGCAGGCTGCTTGGAGGTCAGGCTGGAACATCGTTCTGGGCAAGTGCTTGGTGATAGCACTCACTTCTGTGCCAACACAGGAAGAAAACTAAAACACACCAACAGTCACATCTTAAACTAACAATTCCTCAAACATGAAAAAGGCAAGCTCAACATGATTTGGCAGTTTTTTGAATCTTTAAATTAAAAAAGAAAACATTCTCACAGAGATTCAACTTATCTGCTTCAAGAAAATGTTAAAGTAAAAAGAAAAAAAAAAAAAAATCAGACCCCAAATGATAAAAATAGATGTATCCTCCATAGAAATCTGGCCTAAGCTACTGCATTCATGGCTATTCAGTATTCTGAGCACGAGGTGACATATCAAAGTATAAAAAATAAAAAAAAGAAAAAGTTGAGATACCACCATTACATTGATGGCCTTGGCCTCAAGGCTTACTCGGTGGCCACTGGCCACTACAGTGTCTGGCTCCTCCCACCCTCTGCAGACTTCCAGCCTTCAAAGGTCTTCCTTGGTCCTGCTCCATTTTGTGGTATGTTTGTCTATAAATTTGCTTAAATGTTCCAGGTCTCGGTTTCCACCCTCAAATTTAATTGGGTTCTTTTTGTCCTTTCCAGGAGCAAAGTAGATGGTGGGGAAGCCATCCACCTTGTAGCGGTCACTGGCGATGTCATTGGAGGTGGCGTCCATTTTGGCGATGACCAGGTTCTTCTGGTTCTTGTACTTCTTGGCCAGGCTAGTGTAGACAGGCTCCAGCTGCTTGCAATGCCCACACCAGGGCGCGTAGAACTCGATGAGCACGTCCTTCGAGGGGTCCATCACGATGCTGTCGAAGGTCTTCCCAACAACCACCCTGACAGGCCCCTTGTTGTTCTTGGGCACCGGCTGGGATTTGATGACTGGCTTTAGTTTCCCTGCCAAGGAAAGCCAAGCCGGGGAGAAGGCGTCAGTGCTGAAGGACCCTGGACCCAGCAGCCAGGCAGCTCAGTGAGCAGGAAAGGGTGAATACTGCTGGTGGTAAGTCACACTACTAGGGACAGGAGGACCTAACCCCCAAACCTGACGCCAGCAATGGGCACTGCTATAGTTAACACGTATCTCTTATTCTCCTAGTCCCAGAAAAAGCCAGTGAAGGTGCATGTCCACCCTACCCCAGGCCTAATGGGCCACCAGGCCTCATCCATTAAGAGTATCCAGAGATGCTGCCCAGTGCAGAGGAGCTACAGAGCACTGGCACTGAGGACCTGAAAGCCACGCAGGGAACAGTATGGAGAAAGTGGACAGGTTCCCTGGTGAGCCACCATCCTGTGGCTGGGATTGGGCAACTCACTCAACATATCAATCAAGAACATCGTTTAGACTTCAAATTAGGTTTTCCACACACATGAAACTTATTCCTAAATCCAAAAGCTTATTTTAAAAAATTTCTAGAGGGGCTGGGGTTGTGGCTCAGTGGTAGAGTGCTCACCTAGCATGTGCGAGGCCCTGGGTTCGATCCTCAGCACCACATATAAATAAATTAATTAAATAAAGATATTGTGTCCAACTATAACTAAAAAATAAATATTAAAAAAAAAAAAAGATTTTCTAGAAAAGGCCTCTTAAAATTTCCAAGGCCCATCCTTTTTCTGATTAAAAAAAAAAAAAAAAGCAGAAAAAAAGAATTCGGATGTTTCTAGCCTCTCATCTCCAGGTCCAGGAGGGAAAACCAGGCTCATTAGAACAAGTGGCTGACAACAAAGAGGCTCTGAACCCCAGAGGCATTACCTGAATCCATCTTTCCGGGCTGCCTCTGCGTACCCCTGCTCAAAACCTGACTTTTAGCTTCTATAGGCTGATGCTAAGTAAGCCCTAAGTAATCTTGCTTTTGCTTCTAAAGCAAACAATGGAAGAGGGCTGGGGATGTGTCTCAGTGGTAGAACACCTGCCTAGCCTGAATGAGGCCCTGGGTTCCACCGCCAGTACAGCCAAATAAATAAAGTTCTCTTGTTGCCAGGCATGGTGACACACTCTTGTTATCCCAGCTACTTGGAAGCCTGAGGCAGGAGGATCCCAAGTTTGAGGTCAGCCTCAGCAACTAGGCCCTGTCTCAAAACAAAAAGGGCTGGGGATATAGCTCAGTGGTATGGAGCCCCTGGGTACAATCCCCAGTTTAAAAAAAAAAAAGAAAAAAATCAAAAACAAAAACAAACCCTCCCAAATGTTCCAAAACTTCTATGCATTCTTGGTGTCCTGTTGTTTAGGTCACAGCTGGTCCTTCCCCAGACAAGGAAGTCAGGAAGTGAGTGAGCAGGACTGGGAATGGGAAGCGGAGTGGGCAGAGGCTGCCCGTGGACTCTCCTGGCCTCTTGCGCATATGCAGCACCGGACACCCCACGGCTGCCCAGGTTCCGTGTTCCATCTGAGGGGAGAGCTCAGCCCCAGCTCACCTTTTTTAAAAGTGGTGATAAACTCCCGCAGGGTGTCAGAATCAAACTCCTCTGGCTCCATGGCAAACTTCTTCCCATTCTCATCCAGGATGGCCACATTGACGTCCTCCCCACTCTCGCTGAGCCCCAGGTCCTTCACCTCTGTGGCATAGTCCTCCTCATCAGCGATGGCAAAGGTGTACTCAGGGAAGTCCTTAGCCACTTCCAGGACTTTGTTTCGCCAAAACTGAGTAGCTGAAATGGACCAGGCTGTGAGCTGATTGGCTGGCTGGGCACCTATATCTAGCTCAGAGCCTGAGGTGACATTTAAGACTGTCACTAACACTCTGACAACACACAAGCCCCAGATATACCTCAACTGGAGACAAAGGCAAACCTGAAAGAGCCCCACTGTGGGCAGGTGGTCGGGGGCTGCAAGCCCAGCAAGCCCCAGAAGACCCGTGCCCAGATGACACAGCAGTGTCTGGAGCCAAGGTGGCCCAGTCCTGACTGTAGCCTCACCTCCAAGAGGGTGCTGGCCCCAATCGACTATGCTCCCTTCTTGCTAGAAAGATAAGGGAAAAGGAAAGTGACCCTGAAGACACTGAAGCCCTTAGTAAAAACTACATGTGCACCATTAACCTGTGAGGCCCAGGCCAAGGCAGGATTCTGAGTGAGCCCTATGGCTCCGGATGGATGGGTCTGGCGGGTCCCTCACCAGCTCTGTAATCAAAGCTGAAGTCCACGCTGTAGTAGACAACCACCAGGGGGCGCTTGGTGTACCGCTTGGCATCGTTGGAGGTCTTGCGATGGCCCACCAAGGGCAAAGCGTGCTTCACCACATGGTCCTGGATGGCTGACACCTCGGTGGAACCCTGTTTTGAAGAGGCCACAGGTAAGAGTGGCCCAACAAAAAAGGGATTAGATAGCATACTTTTACTGTCACTGCTAACAGATGTTTGTCTTAAAGAGCTTCTGCATGGGGAGGGGCAGTGGTCCTTGGATCAAACACTCTGGGTTTGTCCCCATTCAAGCATACCCCAGTAACTGCCTGCTTGTCAATACTCGTGCACTTCTCAGGCAAGGCCAGGCACAGTGAGGAACTTTTCAAGAAAGGCGTGGCTCTCCAATGACAACAGCCACCAACATGATCTGAATAGTTCAGAACTTTCCATCTTCAGCTCAACTATCTTCACAAGAGCCTATGAGATTCATCTTATATTTGGCAAGGTGTAACCTCAGATTAGAATGTGGAGTCAAAGCTGTGTGGGGGTGAGTTGCTCAGCGGCTGAGACTACCCCTATTCTCTGGGACATTGTGCCTGCAGACAGCTCAGCACATATGGGCTCAGATGACTGCTCTTGAAGTCTCAGCACTGTGGCCTTTAAGGATGGCTTGTGATGTTTCCCAGGTGGAATGTCTTGATGACATTTACATGGTATCTGTGACTAGCTGGGCACAGTGGCAGTTGCAATGAAGACACAGCTCAGACTGGGTGTCTCCAGGTTCTCAGTGAGGACTTTACCTCTTTACTGGGCCCTTCATAGACATCACCCTCACAACAAACAGAAGTGGGCACTGCCATGTCTACTTTATAGCTGGAGAAGCTGAGGCACAACCAGTTTGCCCAAGGTTGTACAGACAGAAGTGGTGGGTGAACCCCATGGGCCCACAATTCCCACCTGGATGGGGTGGCCAGGGAGGTGTCCTTAGTGGGTGAAATGTGCTGGAAAAGCAGGAAAGGAGTGCTCTGGAGGGGATCCAGGAGCAGAGCAGCAGGGACAGGCTTAGCAGACTAATCACATTGATGAAGCTTTCTGGGGTCAAGAACCCCTTAAAGAATGTACTGAATGCTAAAGACCCTTTCCTGGGAACATGCACGACCACACAGGGCTACATGCCTGATTCCTGGGGTCCACAGTCCCCTATAAGGGTCCCTCTTTCCATGGGGGGCAGGTCTCTGGATGAAAGGAAGAGAAGTGGGAGGGAGGAGTCACAGCAGCTGTCCCAAGTTCAGGGAAGAGGGTCCTGAGCCTCATGTGGGTTGAGAAATGGATGGGGTGGGCATGCAGTCTAAGAAAGGGACCAAGGGATCTGAGGACAGGGGAGTATGAGGAACCAGACAGACTCAGGACAGTCGCAGCCTCTCTGGGATCCATTATCCCCCAGTCTTGTGGCTGCTCCCTACATGCTCGCTCACCTCGCCTCACTATCTCCTCCTCCAGGACCTGAGAGCCTAGAGCCTAATGAGAAAGGTGCATGGGGCCAGCTCAGCCCAGGACACCTGCACTCCATCTCGCTGTACTTCAGCTGCTGTGGGCCCTGGGCAGGAGCACGTGCTCTGCTTGCCAGTTTCTGCTAATTGAAAGCTTCAGAGCTGCCATCCTCTCCAAACCAGATCTATCTGCAGAAACCTGGGGAATGCCGAGCTGGACCCAGGCTCACCCTGAGCTGGTAAGCCACCCAGAACTATATGGTAAAAAACTTTTTAGTTAGATTAGCATGCAAAGAGGTAATACATGTGCCAAGTTGACCAGCTCCACCCAGGGAAGGGGAAGGGCCCACTGGGCATTACAGCCTCAGTACCCAAACCACCTCCCAGCAAATGAGGCTCAATTCTGCCCCAGCACATCCAGACCAAACCCACCATAACATGGGCACCAAAGGAGACAAGAGCCTACCTGCCAGGAGGTATAGAGAGAACAACTGCTTTGGCAAAAGCAGAGGGAGCCTCACTGGGGCCTTAGGTCTTACGACCTGCCGGGTATGTGGTGCCCCAGCCCCACCCCTCCTGCAAAATTGGTCCCTGAGCCACCTGGCTGAGTTTCCCACCAGTGCCTTCAGGCCAACAGTGGGGTGGGAAGAGAGGGCTGGGAAAGGCACTCCAGATGCAGTGAACAGGGCAAAACTCCTGCCATGCTTCCAACCCCAGATGCTCATGCCTGCTGGGTGCCCAGGCAGAGCCCTTGCTCACCTGCACATCCATCACGTGGCTCCTGGGCTCATACTTGGACTGGAATTTCTCAGGCTGCATTACGACCAACTTCCCCGGGGAAACTTTCAGGAACTTAGCTATTTCAGTGCTGAAAGTGTGGTGAAATTTGTAATCTTCTCTCAGGTTGTTGGCTGACAAATTAACAATACAATAAAATGCAATTTATTAAACTGCTAAAATGAATGAGGTTTAATTCGTTACCCATACCAGCCAAAGCAAACACCCTAAAAACAACGTGACTAAACCAAAAAATTCTGTGTGGACAATACCCGAGCTTAAACCCCACCATCCATGACAAGGAGCAGCATAGCGGCACTGAGGCCAACAGCATGTCACATCTGTGTGCAGTGCAGCATCACACATGCCTAGGACCTTACACTGAGTTTCCACCTGGGGTTCTTGGTGGGGGTTTCACCCTAGCCTCCTAAATGGGGAGCTGCAGCCTGAATGCAGTTTATTAACACTCAGCAAAAGCCCTGGGGAGGCTGGGGTTCCCCCTGCAAGTTTCTTCCTAATTGACAAGTCTAGAATGGATGGCAAGGTTACCTAACCAATAAAGACTGAGGAAACATGAATCAAATTTAGTTCTACTGTAAGTTTTATTACAACATTAATCCACTCAATGTATGCATACTTGTTACTGTGCCATGGTGAGTTGTGAATTTTAAAAAGATGATAATAAGCACTTGGAAGTAGAAAACCAAGCTGCCTGGGATATGGAGGGGAGAAGGCCTCAGGAAAGTAGTAAGGATGGAGAGGAAGGCCAGTATGTGGTCCCCAGGCACCAGGAGCCGGGCCTCGGCAGACAATGGATTTCAAGATGGGGTGATGCCACCTGTCACCACCCTCAGAGAACATGGCTGCTGACAGCTGTCCACCATCATTTCACTTCTCAGGACAGCAAGACTATCCTGTGGTGCCATCTGGGGCGCACTTTGTATTGCCAGGCACTCTGTAAAGCACTTCATCTACATTTTTCCAATTGATCTGACAACTCTGGGGGAGTAGTAAAGATGACAGCCTTGGACCTGTGGCCACAGTGTTAGTAATTGGCAGAGCCAGGCCTTGAACCCAGGTCTGAGGCCCTCGCTTTATGGTCAGAGCCTTCCCTCCTACAGAAGGGTAAGGAAGAGGGAAGGCAGACACTTGGATGAGTATGACGTGCCCTCCCCTCTGCTCAGAGGCCAGGAGGATGATGGCGCAGCTAGTTTCCCCCATTTAGTATGTGATCCTACCATCCGTGTGCAAGGAAGGCCAACCAACCCAGCCCCAGGTGGAAGGTTCATTCCCACATATGCTACCCCAGTCAACCATCCAGCCATCTCCTTTGTGATGACCCTTGAGTTTTGTAAAAAACACACTTTGCCCATTTTGATAGCCCCGATCTCCTGGAAGGGCTTATGCATGCTGTTCAGCACAGCGGGCCAGTACTTACCAGCATCCTGATATTGCTGGTAGGCTGGGTCACTTTCTCCCTGAAAGACCCCAATGATGACAACATCGTCCCCATCCTTCAAGAACTCCTGGACCTGCTTCAGGGTTGGAACCTCCTTGGAGGGAGGCCCGGACTGCTCAATCATGTAGTCAACAATCCCTGGGGAGAAAGCACACACCTGAGGAGGGGCTTTTGGAGTGGCCCACACTACTCCCCTATTATGGGGCTCGCCCCACCATGGGGTGGGGAAAGGACGTGGCCGTACCATATTTCTCTCGTGGTCCATTGTACTCAAAAGGCCTTCCCTTGCGGAAAATTTTCAAGGTAGGGTAGCCAGAGACATCAAACCTCTTAGCCAGGTCCGTCTCTGCAGTGGCATCAACTTTTGCCAGTGGAATTGGCGGGGAGCGCTTGCTGAGCTCCTTGGCGGCCTTCTCGTACTCAGGGGCAAGTTTCTTGCAGTGTCCACACCTGCCAAGGGGAAGTCAGTTCTATCAGGGGCCTGTCCCAGTGTGGACTCATCTCCCAGCTAAATGAGGTGCAGAAACTAATCCAGTGTACCCAAGCAACTCAGGTGCATCCAGTAAACCTCAGAATATCTCCTAGGTGTGGGCACTGAGCCAGGGCCCTGGAAGAAACCAGGAGGTGAAGATGTGAGCTTCCTACATGGCATCTGTGCACCAGAGTGTGCACAAGGGCATGTTCATACACACATGAACCCACGTGTAAGAGTGCAGGTAGGAGCATCTGCATGGAGTAGGCAAGATCCACAGGAAAGGCCGAGACAGACAATGTCCTAAGAAGGGAGAGAATATTCTTGGTTGGGGAGCTGGGAAGGATAAAGTCGGGGAAGGCTTCACAGAGGTCATGACAGCTGAGCTGGGGCGTGAGGTACATGGAGGAATCAGACAGGAGCCCCTAAGAGTAGGACGAGGTAACGACATCACAGAGACATGGAAAGGATGAAGAGTGTGACCAGCCTGCACTTGCACAAGCAAACCAGGGCAGGAGAAGACAGGCGTGAGTCAGAGGAACCCAGGCTGCTGTGCAAAACTCAGCCCGTCTACACCACATGACCTGCCAACACCTGCGTGGCCAGGGCCTCATGTGTCACAGGCTCTCAATCCTCAGTTAAACACTGTCTTGCCCTGGCCTTTAGGACACCCAAAAAACCTGAAGGATTGCCCCTGCAACATGGAAACTATTTGCAAGTAGAAGGATAAATGTCTTCCAAGGTATCAAAAACCAAACAAACCGCACCACATACACCCAGCACGGGCAACGGTCTGCTGCACCTGGCTCCTGAATGTCTGCAAATCAGAATCCCTAAAACAACCCATAGGTGTAATGTCCTGTTGCTCTTCCTCTTCCCACTCCCCAACCACCAAGCCAGGGCCGCTTTTGTAGCAGGACAAGGGCCAGCATCTCCCAGCATCACTGGAGGGTTAAGGGGGAGGTCACCGCCTGCCTGCTCACCAACCAAGGCATTTCTTCCCTTCTTCCCAATTTGTTTTCCTCTGTCTTCTCACTTCATTTGCACATCCCATGACTAGGTGCAGTGATTTTTCCTACAGAACCCAGAAAGCCTCAATTTAGGCTTGGGAGCCCTGGCCCTTCACTGTGCACCAGGCACAGCCTCCGCCTGCCTGATTCTAGGCACACACACTTCCTCTCCCCATCAACTCCCTGGAACTCATCCACAGAACAGCCACTTGAGGCCACTCTTCTTGGTTTGCCTGATTTGTCATTTATTGGCCTCTACCCTGATCCACAGGACATGTCCTGACAACTGTTGGAACTGCTCAAGAATCAGAAGCACTGATTGACCCATGACAAACTCACCAAGTGCCTCAGGTCACCTCCTGAGAAGGCCAATGGCCCTCTTGCAGGAACACTCATTCGCCTTTGAAAAGTCTTCCTTCCGATTTGCTCTGTCCACTTTGTCGCCCCATCCTATCTCCTGGGATATCCTTATAATTGGTCACGCCCCTTCCCCACCCCCATGAAGCCTGATGACAGCAGCCACTTTGGTCCACAAGCTTTTGGGAACCTCACTGATCTGCTGCCTGAACTCTCCCCCACTTTCTTTCTGGTATCTCTTTCCTTGATTACCTGTTTCCTTCCACACCCACTCCCCCGGTGGCACCGTTATGAACTCCCCTCTTCCAGAATACCTGGTACCTTGGCCTCCACCTGCACTGCACCCTCCACCCAAGCCCAGCAGGGTGTTGAATAATCAACATCTTAGTAGCACGAAACTGAAGACCCCCATCTCACCATGGGGCATAAAACTCCACCAGAATTATGTCTGCATCATTCACAACTTCATCGAAGTTCTCTTTGGTCAACACAAGTGTGACTTCTGGGGGAGGTGTCCAGTTGGGTTGGGAGACTTCTCTGACCTTGGCAACAATTTCTGAAATAAGGGGAACAAAAAGAAAAAGACTGAGCACATGGAGACCCAAGCTGCAGGTTCTTACTTCACCTCCCTCCAGAAGCAGGTAGAGAAGGAGTAAGTGGCAAGGGGAGCAGGAATTGTGTGACTTCCTGAACTCTGATGGCATCTCTAGCCAGGGCCACTTTCACAGTTTTGAGAATGCAGTTAAGTCAGTGGGTCTTTCCCAACAACCATCTGGGACATTTCCACTGCCACAAACCGGACCCGAGCCTTCTCTAGAAGGCAGGAGACCTACTTGATGTATGGTCTCATTTTCTCCTGGACTGTGTACCAACTGGTTTTGGTCAAATATGCTTATTAATAGAATTCTGGGAAATCCCCTTAACATGTACAGGCTGTATATGTATTTAATCATACATATCTAGCACTAGTATATTACATGCATGCCAAAATGTTTGCAAGAATCAAGAAAAATATAAAAGGAACAACAGCCCCTGTCTGCTCAGGGTATACTGGCATCACCTGAGAAGGCTTTTTAAAAAATGCTGTTTGTGGCTTCATTCCCCAGAAATGTAGTCAACAGCTACAGCTGGTCACAAGACTATGTCCTGACAAAAAACTTGCCAGGAGCAGAACAGAGGGTCTAGAGGGTCTAGCATTTGCAAAGCCTTGGGTTCCATCCTCTGTATCACAAAAATCAAAAACCTCTGAACCTCCTTCAATGTTCTCTCCACCATTCTACATGCAGAATGGAAAATGCAGCAGCATACTGTTTTAGAAAACTGATTACAAGGGCTGGGGATGTGGCTCAAGCGGTAGCGCGCTCGCCTGGCATGCGTGCGGCCCGGGTTCGATCCTCAGCACCACGTACAAAGAAAGATGTTGTGTCTGCCGATAATTAAAAAATAAACATTAAAATTCTCTCTCTTTAAAAAAAAAAAAAAAAAAGAAAACTGATTACAAGAGAGATATGCCACTGGGTACAGTGGCACAAACGTAATCACAACAATTTGGCTGAAAAGGGCTAAGGATGTAATTCAGAGGAAGAATGTTTCTGGGTTCAATCCCTAGTACTACCACCATCACAAAAAAAGAAAAAAACTAGTATGCCCCTGCTAAGGAAACCACATTTTTTATCTGTTTATTCATCTAATAAAACTTCTGTGGTGCCTCATGTGAGCAAGCAGGAACCCAACAGGTCTGAATGCAGATGCTGTTGCAGACTCCTGGAACTGCACTCTCTGTGCATGGCTTTGCACCACAGCCTGTGAAGCCCTCCCTGGACGCTCCTAAGAAGTGCCAGTTACTTGGCCTACCTTGAGCCTTACCAAATCAGAAATTCAGGCTGGGGCCAGCCACCTGTCCGAGCCAGCCCTCCAGATGCATGCTACATACCAAGGACCACTGCTCTGAAACACCACTGGGATTGGGGCCTCTGGTGTCATTTCTAATGTTCCCGCTCCAGATCTTGGCTGCCATGATTTGGAATATGAAAACACCTCTCCCACCAACCTTACTTACCCCAAACACTCCAGCAGGCTGGTGCTCCTGGGGGAGCCAGTCCCAGGACACTTGCCCTTCCTCCCTTGTGACCACCCAAGTGTCTGCTCCCCTCACTGTGCTTAGTACTAGCTCACCTTCGTGGGTCCGGGAGCCATCATAGTCCACAGCCTGGCCCTTCTTCAGAATCTTGATGGTCGGATAACCACTCACATCAAACCTGCTAGCCAGCATGGATGCTGAGGTGGCATCGATCTTAGCAACTGCAATGGGAGGATCATTACTCTTCAAGGTACTAGCAATCTTTTCATATTCCGGAGCAAACTGCTTGCAATGCCCACACCTAAGGATTAGATTGAGGGAAGGAGAAACAGGTTACTGCACCATGCAGATGCAATCCAACATCATACACATACACAAAGGGGGGCTAAGGAAATATCTGCAGTTAAGAAGAATGACTCCACATAACACCATGGGGAGGCAAAAGAGGCTTTAAGTCAAGCAGATCTAGGTTTGAATTCCAGCTCTGCCTTGGCAAGTACTCTCAACCCAAATGATCCCTTCTGTTTACAGTCAGCTCTCCACATCCACATGGTGCACACCCATGAATTCAGCCAACTGTGGATCAACAACAACAAAAACTACTGCATCTGTACTGAACACACAGACTTGTCTTCTTGTCACTATTCCCTGAACAGTGCAGCGGAACAACTACTGACATAGCACTTATTTTGTGTTACGTATTGTAAGTATTGTAAATAATCTTCAGATGATGTACACACCTGTGATCCCAGCTACTCAAGAGGTGAAGCAGGATCAAAGGTCAAAGGCCAGCCTAGGCATCTTAGACTCTCAAAAATAAAATAAAAAAGGCCGGGTGTAGCTCAGTGGTAGAATACTTGGTTAGCAATGTGTGAGGCCCTGGGTTCCATCCCTAGTACCACACACAAAACAACCCCGAAATACAAGAGGATATGCAGAATCACACACAGTCACACCACTTCGTATAAGGAACCGGAGCATCTGTGTATTTTGGTGTCTGTGAGGGACGGTGGAGGCTAGATTAGTCCCCTTGGAGTCCAAAGGACAACTGTAAAAGTCTCTCAAAGTTTGGGCCAGTGATCCCTTTCAGGCGGTCTGTGAAGTCAGAATCCCTGAAGACACACACTGAGAATAAGGTAGGATTTTCCAGAGGCTACCTGACTTAGAGAAGGAAGATGAGAGCCAGCAGGTACAGCACTAGGAGGGGTGAGACGAGAAAGGAAACGGGGTGCCTGTGTCCATTAAAAAGTAAACCACGAGTCCTACAGGCCAACAGCCCGAACTTAGGGCAGCCACCAGAACCCCGCAGAGCCTGCCTTCCCTGAGGCTGCCATGAGGCGGCTCAATGCCAACTGCCAGAAGGGAGCCTGGGGTCTGGACAGCAGTGAGGGGAGGTCTGCACTGAGGCCGACTAGCGGTGGGAACCGGAACGCAGGTCCTTACCATGGCGCGTAGAACTCCAGCAGCACCGTGTCTTTATCAGCCACAAAGTTATCAAAATTTGCATCATTCAGGACCAAGACACCATTTTCTTCCTTAACTTCCAAGTCTTCTTCCTCCTCCTCCTCCTCCTCCTCCTCCTCCTCTTCATCCTCAATAGCATCTTCTCTTTCAGAAGCATCTGAGTGGAAAATACTGGTGAAGAAACTGATGACTTTTTTTTTTTAAACTTTCTTAGAACCCCCAAAACCTCCAAATGTATCATGAGTCCTGTGCAGCCAGAACCTCCTCACCCCAGCAATTCTGCTCTGGGTCTGCACACTATGTGGCCACTTTAGATGCCAATAATAATAATAATTATTATTATTATTTATTATTATTATTTAAAGAGCAAATGCCTCAGAAAGGCTTGGCTGGCAGGATGAGCCCCCTCCAAATGCAAAGCCCTCTGCCTTGCTCTGCTTTCCACCAACAGGGCCTTGATGTAACCTCCCGTGAACGAGTTACCTGCCTGGCCCCCAAAATAGTAGAAATGGGAAATAGGGACTCCTTCTTGACTTTTCACCCTGGAGGATTAGTTCTGTTTCTGAAAAGGGTGACATTTTACCTCAGTCAGACAACAAATTACACCTCTGCTTAGAAGCAAAGTTTTCTTCTTGGAATGCAGGAAACTGAGTAGAACCTGTCAAGTTTGATTTTTTGCCAAACTACAGAACAGATCCAAGTGTTTGTGAAACTCCAGTTGTTTTTTGATTTTTTTAAATTTTTTTGTAATTGTAGAAGGATAGCATGCTTTTATTTATTTTTATGCAGTGCTAAGGGTTGAACCCAGTGCCTCACACATCTAGGCAAGTGCTCTGCCCCTGAGCTACAACCCCAGTTCCCCCAGTTCTAATTGACCAGCTTTTCATAGCAGCAAATGGAACTGAGTGCAACAAGCACAATAATTTCACTACTCCAAGGCCAGAATATTTCTAGAGGCCAATGCTTTTCTGGAGTTACTTCTCAGGAGCTCAATCAACACTGCTAGCTACTTGGGGCTGAGGGTGCACTCGGGGCCTGAAAACTGTCAAGGGACTGAGACTCCTGGGACCTGTGGCCTCTGCTAAGCCAGTGTTGGATCTGCAGCTGGGACAGTGGGGCCATGCACTCGCTGCTCCCACATGGCCCATAATACCTTGCTTCCCAGCATACTCAGATGTTCTGGAGAATGGGGGTATAGCTCTCTTCATTATTAAAATCTATAATCTAGCTGGTACATGGTGTAATCCCAGCTACTCAGGAGGTTGAGCAGGAGGATGGCAGATGAGACCCTGTCTAAAAGAAAGGCAGACAGACTAGGGATATAGCTTGTGGTAAAGCATCCCTGGGTTTAAAAAACGCACAAAACTACCAATCTGCAGGGATGTTCTGGAGCTTCTCTGCCCAGTGGGCACCATCCCAGCCCCACTGCCTGGCTGCTCAGCCCAGTCACAGAATGGAATTTACTAGCTTGCAGAAGAGAAGACTGGAGAGAAGGCATTAGGGAACTTCCTCCTCCTCAGGCTAGGAGCCTCAGAGGACAGGAAGCAGAACTGCAGAGTCTGCTCAGTCAGTTACACAGGTGGAAGGGAAGATTCAAGCGTATGGTGAGGGCACCTAAAACACAATCACAAAGGCTAATCTTTTCAGGGTGATTTTACAAAAAGGATGTGCAAAGGTGTTTTCTTGCTATGCTCTGAAGAAAGCAAGAAAAGCCTGAAGTAGACTCAGCACTCCTAATGAGAGGATCCTGATTAAATGAGTCAGCCCGTTCCCAGGAGGCAATCTGTTTAACATTCAAAAAAATGAACTGTATTTTCCTTTTAAAGGATAACAAAGTGATAGAACATTCCCTACATAATTAAGCACTCTCTACTGCATTAAGGCATGACCTTCTTTCCATTCCTCCCACAAAACCCCAGAGTTGATTTCTCTGCAAATTGAGAAAGGCCCAGAAACAGAGAACCCAGGGTGTCCCATACAGGTGCTCTACCACTGAGCTACACCACCAGTCCCTGGCTCTATGATCCCATTGTTATGGTTTGGATGTGAAATGTCCCCCAAAAGCTCATGTGTGAGACAATGCATGAAGGTTTAGAGGAGAAATGACTGAGTTGTGAGAGACTTAACCCAAGCAGTGAAAAGTCCCCTGACAGGGATTAAATGAGTGGTAACTGAAATGGTAGGGTATAGCTGGAGGAGGTGGGCATTGAGGGCTTAGCTTTGGGGTATATATTTGTATCTTGCAAGTGAAGACCTCTCTTTCTGCTTTCTGATCAACATGTGAGCTGCTTCCCTTCGCCACAATCTTCCTCCATGATGTTTTGTATTACCTCAAGCCCAAGGAATGCAGCCTACTGTCCATGGACTAAGACCTCTGAAACTCTGAGCCCCCAAATACTTTTCCTCCTGTAAAATTGTTCTTATTGGTTCCTTTAGTTATAGCAACAAAAAAGCTGACTAAAACAAAAATTGGTACCAAAAGTGGGGTCATATAACCTGACCTTGTGGTTTAGAAGCTTTTGGAGATTTTTGGAATTTGTGGGAGGAATTTTGGAAAGGTTAGTCATGCAAGCTAGCAAAGCTTTAGAATGTTGTAAGTGGATTTAAAAATATATATATATATGTAAGTTTCAAAGCATCAAGTGAACCCGTTTCAATTTTAGTCAAACTCTTTTTTTTTTAAGAGAGAGAGAGAGAGAATTTTAATATTTATTTTTTAGTTTTTTTCGGCGGACATATCTTTGTTTGCATGTGGTGCTGAGGATCAAACCTGGGCCGCACGCATGCCAGGCAAGCATGCTACCACTTGCCACATCCCCAGCCTGTAAGTAGATCTGAGGTTTCAGAGGAAAAGAACTCTATTGGAACTTGAACCAGAGGACATTCCTATTATGTTCTGGCTAAGAAGTTGTCCACATTTTGTTCTGTGAGGCCGATTTTAAAAGCAACAGACTTCTTAATGTGGAGGACGAAGTTTCTAGACAGCATAGCATTCAAATGGTGGCATGGATATTGCTGGTGGCTTTTACCCAAGTTTATTATATTAAGGAGCAGAAAGCAGAGCAGAAATTTTAAAACTTGGATTTGAAAGGTGGGAGTAAAACTGGAGCTAAGAAAGTTGCAGTTAATAAAGACATTATTGCGACTAAAGAAATGCTAGAGACTGCCCAGAGACCATAAGAAAGATGGTTTGAGGGCATCTCAGGAATTGGCAAGACCACATCCATCTCAGATTTAAGCGAATATTAAGTAAAAATTCTATCTTGACGAATGGGGCACCTTATTTGCACAAGTGGGCCAAGGAAGTTTTGTTAATGTGCTCAGCCACCCAGAGGATGCTGCACTCAGAGTCCCCGAAGGCTTTACCACTGCTCCAGATGGCAGCAGACCTCGGCATCAATCATGTGGTGCTGGTTCTTCAGGAACGCAGGATACTAGAGTTAGGGGGTCACGGAGGCTTCCACCAAGATTTCAAAGGAATGCCTGGGAGGCCAGGTAAAGTGCAGCAGGGTCAGAGTCCCTACGGACATCCCCTGAGAAGTCAAAGTGTGGAGTTGTGAGGAAGAAGCTGAAGCTCCAGTGGAAACCCCAAGATTAAGAAATGCCAGTAACGTAGTCTGTCTGCCAAGGAAAGCTGCAAGAATCCAGCAGAAGCAAGCCAACAGAAAGGGATGTGGACAGCAACCAGTACATCCACAGGGGAGGAGCCACACAAGCCCTTTGGAGAAAACATCACACTGCCATGTGCTCTAGATGCCGGACATGGAACTACAGAACTTGTTTGCCCAGCTGGACTTCGGTCTTTGGCTCTATCTGTACTATTTTTCTGAATGGAAATGTTTACTCTGTACCTTTATATATTGGATATTTGTACACTTTCTTTGATCTTTACAGGAGCTCATAATGTGAGTTTGCCCCAAGTCTCAGACAGTCTTCAGACTCTGAACTAAATTATTCTGCACTGTGAGATGGGCATGAGATTTTGGGGGCCAGGGGTGGAATGCTATGGTTTGGATGTGAAGTGTCCCCCAAAAGCTCACATGTGAGACAATGTATGGAGGTTTCGAGTCTTAACCCAACCAATGAACTGATCCCCTAACGGAATTAACTAAGTGGTTAACTGAAGGCAGGTAGGGTGTGGCTGGAACAGGTAGGTCACAGGGTCCAGCATATCTTGTGTACATATCTGGTGAGTGAAACCTCCGTTTCCTGATCATCATGTGAGCAGCTTTCCTTTGCCATCCTCTTCCTCCATGATGTTCTGCCTCACCTCCAGCCCCGAGGAATGGAGCCTGCTATCTATGGACTGAGACCTCTGAAACAGTGAGCCCCCAAATAAACTTTTCTTCCTCTAAAATTGTTCTTATGGGGTCTTTTAGTTACAGCAACAAATAAGCTGACTAAAACACCTGTCTACTAGAAATCTACGTATCCCTGCAAGCTAGACACATCATATCCTAATGGGGACACTACTTTTCACTGGACTTCACTTTTAAATTTGGACATTCTAAGATAGAACACCCATTGAAACATTCCAGCACCACCTGAAGTAGTCTCCTAGCATGAGGTAAATGAAGCCTCCTACATTCATGTCCACCTCGCTCACCCTACAGGAGAAAGCCACTCCTGAAACGGGAGGGGGGGCGGGGTCCAACCAGGTGGCTGAAATCCCCTTTGACTCCTACCAAACACACCTGAGGACAACTTTGCACCCCTCCTCTGTCCAGCCCAGATGCAGGCAGCGACCACAAGGATGCCCTCACTCTACCTCCTCAGCTGGCCAATTCCAGTTTCCACCAGGGGCACCCCTGTAATAGCTGCACAAACGACCATTAAGCCAACACTTAACGGTTTATGGTGAACAAGAAAAAGACAAAGTTGTTATCAGAATAGGGATCAAATCATTATCACTGATATTAACTATGTGCCAGGCACTGTGCCAAACTCTTTAAAAGTTTCTTCCCAATATACAAAGTTTAAGGTGAGACCATTCTGGTCTTCCACTTTTTTGTGGGGTCACGGCTTTAGAGGTCTCAATCCACAGGACAGCTCCATTCCTCAGGGCTCGAGGTGAAGCAGGACATAATGGAGAGTGTGGCTGAGGGAAGCAGCTCACATCAAGGTGATCAGGAAGCAGAGAGAAAATCCGCTCCCCAGATACAAATATATACCCCACAGCCACACCCTACCCACCTCCAAGTTACCTCTCAGCTAATCCCTATCAGGGGATTAAGTCACTGAGTTACTGGGTTCAGATTCTTACAACCCAATCATCTCTCCTCTGAACCTTCTTGCATTGTCTCATACTTGAGCTCTTGGGAGACACCTCACATCCAAACCGTAACACCACTGAACTACATACATCCTTAGTTCTTTTTATTCCTCATTTTGGGACAGTCTCACTAAATTGCTGAGGTTTGCCTCAAACTTTTAATCCTCCGACTCAGCCTCCGGAGTCGTTGGGATTACAGGCATGCACCATTATTTTAGCTGGAAAAGTCCAGGCAACTTCTAATCCAAAACATGGAAAGCCCTGGCACCTGAGGCTTAGACCAGATGGCTTAAGTCTACTTAGCAACCACACTGGGGGATGGGACATTTAGGTGCCCAGATATCACTGTGCTGATGAATCTAAAATGTGAGAGAAACCAAAGAAAGGCCTAAAGATTTCGAGCCTGGCATAGTGGTGCATGGCTATAATTGCAGTGATCTGGGAGGCTGAGACAGGAGGATTACAAATTCAAGGCCAGCCTCAGCAACTTAGTGAGATTCTGTCTCAAAATAAAAAAAGGAATGGGAATTGTAGCTCAGTGGTAAAGCACCCCTGGGTTCAATAAATCTGTTGACTAAGTCATATGTGAAAGGCTATGAAAATTAAGGGCTAGTGATGCCCTCAGGGATAAGAGGGAGTCAAGGAGAAAGCCAGAAGGATATGCCCTTGATCAGGATACCCCAGAGATACCCTGGCTCACTCCAGAAGCAACTGCTTCCCAGGGACAATACAGCACTAGTGATTTACAACCCACAGTATAAACTTGATGGTCCCCAAAGTCCTTGAAGTCCACACAAGTGTGCCACTCTCCTGAGCCTCTCAAGAATCCCCCCAAAATCAGTGGATCGAAATATAGACAATGCTACTGTACTTTCCAGCTAGGTTCCCAAAAGTATCCAAATGCAAAATTTACTCTGCCTATGAAAAGTAAAAAACTTGTTTAAAATACAGACTCAAGGGCCTAACCCCACTTTGTATTTAAATAAGCACCCAAGTGATTTGGATAAAGGTGCCAAGACACCTGTAGGCAGTACTGATTCCTGGTTCCTTTCAGCAGGTGTTTTTTTCCCACTGAGTCTGGGTTTTACTTCCTTTTCTACTGGGCAAAGACTTCTGAATCTGACCCACACAGAAGTTACTCAATTTATTTGAAAAAGTCTAAAGTTCACGTTTCCCCAACACACTAATATTGGAAAAGCGGGGTTATTTATATTGGAATAAACTTAGCAGGTAAAAAGCTAGTGGTAAGGAAAAAGGACACAAAGGAAGAAGGTTAAGACCAATACTAAATGCCCAGCTCTCTAGGAATTGCAACTGTAACGAGTACTTCTTAATTTTCAAAGCTCTCTTATGTTTGCAGGTAGCTGATTTCAAAGAAAAATGCAGGAACATGATGAGGCTCTGTACCCTGTCCCTAGCAGAGTGCGGGTTTCCAGGGTGGGGACCACACAACCCAAGCTTGACTCCTCCAACACAGACCGGCACATACTGGGTGCTGAATAAATGCTGAGAAGAGAGATGAGGTCTCCTCTTTATACGGAAGACGCAAACCTCCCTTTCACCTTCAAACCAGAACCCGTGCATTAATTATTTCCAAATCTACAGAGAACATTTTTAAAGAAGATGCCTGCTGCCCGCGGCTGCCCCTGCGAGCTCCCACGAGCGTCCTCCCGCCCTCGCATCTTCTCTAAAACCTGTTTGGACACTGTGGACCCCCTTCTTCCCTCACAATCTCTGGGCGTGTGCGTCTGGAAGTTTTACTAAGTTCCACAATCCTCCTTTCAGGGCAGAAGACAATCAGCTTGGACCTAAGAAAATCTGAGAATGAAAACGAAGGAGCCTTGCAAAGAAGCCTGTCTGTACCCCGTTCTGCGTCCCAGACTCGGGTGGCAGGGACTTCTAGTGAGTCGGAGCTCGTGGGCCCCGAGCCTCGGCCTCTTGGTCGTCTCCACTAAGAGATCCCCAAAGCCGTCCAACACCCCTTTCCTTCCCCTGAAAGCCCAGCAAGTCCGCACAGCGAGCGACGGCGTCCCTAGATCTGCAGGAACCTGCGCGAAGCCCGACGGGCCACCAGGTCTTACAACCCGGGCTCCCACGGCTTCCAGCCTCGCGGACGCCCGAAGCCCTCCCCAGCCAGGCCCCCGCTCACCTTCGTCCGTTCCCTCGGCGCTGGCCGCGGCCAGCAGCTGCGCCAGAGCCAAGAGCAAGACGAGCACGCAGGCTTTTCGGAGCCTCATGGCGGCAGCAGCGGAGCGCGGCCTCCAGGCGCCGGCAGCCGTGGAGCACTCCCAGACTTGCCCAACGACAGAGGAGCGCAGAAAACACTCCAGGAAGTCCTCCCAGGCAAATGACCGGGGGCGGGGAAGCCGTCGGTAGGCCAATCCCCGCGCGCGGCCGGACGCGCAGGCAGGGCCCCTCGCTGCGTCCTACCTTCTCCCCCGCCCAGGCTCAGGCCGCGCCGGCGCGCCCCTGGAAGCGCGTTTAAAACTCCGAGCCCTAACGTGAGGTGCCCCCTTCTGATTGGCTGCGCGGCGGCCACCAATCAACGGCTGCCACTCGGTTTGCGCGGAGCGCACAGGCGGAGAGACCCAGCAGGGTAGAACAAAAGCGGCCGGCGGAGCTCAAGGGGGCGGGGCCTTGCAACGTACCAGGGTGCGATTGGCTAGCAGCGCAGTGGGCGTGGGGGCGGGGCCTGGGAGCGGTGGGCTGTGCGGGCTGGGCTTCCCGCCTGGCGTGGCAGGAAGAACACGTGGCCTTAGGGGTGCTGTGGTGCCCTGCCCGCACAGCCCTAGAGAAGCGGGAACCAAAGGGGACGAGCATGAGCCAGTCTGTTGTTGGAAGAAGGAGAGAGACGGGCTCCCGATCTGCAACGTGGTCATGGGCTTCTTGGTTTCTCTTAAGAGTTTTCCCACATGTAAAGTTTGCAACTGGGTGTGGTGACACACCTGTAATCCCAGTGGCTGGGGAGGCTGAGGCAGGAGGATCACAAGTTCAGAGCTAGCCTCAGCATTTTAGCGAGGCTCTGGGCAATTTAGAGAGGCCCTGTTTCAAAAGTTTTTTTTAAAAGGAGGGGAGCTGGGGATGTGGCTCAGTGGTTAAGCACCCCTGGGTTTAATCCCCTGTACAAAAAAGAAGAAGAAGAAAAGTGCATGTCTTTCCTGGGCATAGGGTTAGGGGATCCTCCTGGAATGACCATATAGTAAAGTGAATCCAGGATTTCATTTATGAGCAAGCCTTCAGATTCTTGTCTAAACTTTGCCTCCTTATTTATTCCTTCCCTGATTTACTTCAAAACATGAGTAATACCAGATAGGCAATCTAGTGGTTTACAGAAATCTAGATGCAGCTCTGAGGTTTTCTCTCTTGACTGTTTTGGAGAAGAAAACTAGGTTTGTACGTCAGAAAGGAAATCTGTGGTGTGTATTAGAGTTTCATATATATATATATATATATATATATATATATATACACTTTTTTTTTTAACCCTGGGCATTAGTATGCCTGAATTATGGAAGACAAATAGGGAAAAACAAACAAACAAAAAACAATAAAAGTCCAAGAGTCCAGTAGTGGTTTCATGTGTATATAGATTATTAAGTGAGAAAGAAAGGAAGGAGGTCATTCACAGATGTTAGAAATTAGGAAATTTTAGTTAGTTTTTATTATGAATCCAATGGTTCCTCATTAATTTTGTAGAGGACAAAGACATGCTGCACCTAACTGTAACACCAGAGTATGCATGAAGTGATTTGTTACAGTGTGATAAATGTAGACTAACAATTTAATATTATTTTAAAGAACTCTAAAGAAAAAAGATTGAGTCCAATCAGAATTTTTGTCTTTCTTCATAGTTTTTTATGAATTTTCACTAAACTGAGAAGAATGAAGGCCTCATTTGCCCAGATGTGGGGCAACCAATTGCAGTAAGGCCCTTTGTTGATAACAGGTGACAGGAAACCTGTCAAAGTGCAACCTATGTGTGTGTGTGCATGCACATACACACACACACTCCTTGTGAAATTAAAATGATAATGTTCTTTTTAAAAGCATTTGGGTGGCACACACTTATAATCTCAGTTACTTGGGAGCCCTGAGTCAGGAAGATTGCAAATTCGAGACCAGCCTCAGCAACTTAGTGAGCCTCAAAATAAAAAGGGCTGGGATATAGCTCGGTGGTAAAGTACCCTTGGGTTCAATCCCCAGTAGCAGAAAAGAAAAATATTAAATCATTTAGATTAGAACAGTGGAAGTTCATTGAAAAACAAAATATGACTTTATCAAGTTGCAGATCTCCTTGTTCTTCATCTCTAAATCTCATCCAATTTGGTTATGGGTACAGCAGGCTGGGAGACCACTGTGAGGTGGACCACAGCAGAGAGAGAGGATTTCTTTAATCAAGATCTCCATAACTAGGGGTTGGGGTTGTAGCTCAGTGGTAGAGCACTTGCCTCGCATGCATGAGGCACTTGGTTCTATCCTCAGCACCACATAAAAATAAATAAAGCAAAGGTATTGTGTCCATCTACAACTAAAAAAATTTAAAAATAATTTCAAAAAAATCTCCATAACTATTGTAATTATATATAAAGGTTGACTGTTAATACAACTGGAATCTAGTTTGGAAACTTCATTCATATAAATGAACTCGCCCCTGGCTTGTCCCCTGAGCTGCCACTTAACACTATTAGGCTTGGTTTAGAGGTCAGTTTGAACATGCGTTTTCCTCTACTCCTGCATAGCCCTTGGGGAATGGCGTATGGGGAATTAATCTTCCCCTTCCAGATTATCTCTAGATAGATCTATGACACCAATGTCTGCCATAACAAGCTGAGTTTATATGTGGAAAACTAAACTGGGACCAGACAGATGTACAACCTGTAGCCATGGGGTTTCTAGTCCATCCTATGCAAGAATTAAACCACCTGGGCTGAAACAATTTCTTGTATGTACTGGAGATCTTAGGAATGGTTGGTCCTACCTTCCTTTGATTATGATACAGTTCCTTTTCAATAGAAAGAGGAAAAGTGAAATCTCTGCTTTTAGCTGGCATGGTAGTGCATGCCTCTCATCTCCTGTACTGGGAAAGTTGAGGCAGAAGGACTGTGCTTGAGCCCAGGAGTTAAAGGCCAGCCTGGGCAACAGAGAAACCCGGCCTCAAAAAACAAAAACCATATAACTGAAGCACACAATCTCTTGTGTAATTTTATATCCTACATCTTAAACTTAATATCACATCATGATTATTTTACCATGCTGTTACATTGTCTTCTGAGAGAGAACATCACTCTCCCCAGAAGGATTCATCTTGATTCATGATTGCAGACTGAAATGAGGTCCCATACCCACGCTCCAGCTACCCAAGCATCTACCTGAGGATGTATAACGATTAACTCCATTCTAGAGTTAAGGTGCATAAACACTATATTCAGATTCTATTACCATGTTTTAGAATATACTGGTATTTTAGCTACTGCATCTTCCAATAACCCTTCCATAAGGGCAATATTCACACATACAGGGGTGGACAACCTGACATTTAAAAAAAAATTTTTTTTTTTTTAGTTGTTGATAGACCTTTATTTTATTTGTTTATATGTGGTGCTGAGAATTGAACCCAGTGCCTCACACATACCAGGCAAGTGCGCTGCCACTGAGCCCCAGCCCCAGTCCACAACCTGACACTTTTGCAACAGGTTGCCAGTGATGAGAACTTATTTCCAAAATTTGACGAAATGGGTAACCAACCCAGTCTTTTGCTGTTGTTGTTGTTATACCAATGGTCTTAGTCACTATTTCTCTTATTTTGAGGTAAAGTAATTCTGCCGCGTGACAGCATGCTAGCTTCATACTAGAGGTCCTAAGCATAGAAGTTAACTAGTGAGATCAAAATAAACACACATAAACTCAATTTACCTTTTTCTTGACCAGGTCAGAGACGGCCCCCTCTGGCACTTGCCTCGAACCACTGGTGGGGTAGCGAGGTTTACACAAGAGACTAGCAGGAGAGAGGAAGGGCACGCCAGGGAGTGGCCTTTTATTGGGGAACAAGAAATTCAGGGGAAAATTCCATCCAATGAAGGTCGAGGGGGACAGCATTCCAAGGTCAGGGTCAGTGATTGGTCTCAGGGTCAATGGTCAGTCACACACGGATGGGCTCTCACACCTAAAAAGGGTGGGGATTAGTTCTGACACAGCTTGGCCTGAAGGCCTCACACCCAGTCAGGGAGGTGCCCAATCGGGGGTGCCCAATCATGTGCGAGAACGGCTTCCCACAAGTAATTCTTAAGATTTTTATTTTTTATAATGGTGCTGGTTGATCAAACCCAGAACCTCACACATGCTAGGCAAATGCCCTACCACTGAAACACATCCTTAGTACCTTAAGGAGATTTTTGTGTGGGGGGCGGGGGGAGGTGCTGGGGATTGAACCCAGGGCCTTATGCACACAAGGGAAGCACTTTACCAACGGAGCTATATCCCCAACCCATATTTTAACATTGAAAATAAAATTATTCAGACTGGGATTGTAGCTCAGTGGAAGAGTGGTTGCCTGGCAAGTGTAAGGTACTAGGTTCGATTCTTACCACCACATACAAATAAATAAAAGTTCATCAACAACTAAAAAATATTTTTTAAAAAAATTTAAAAATATATAAAATTATTCTTTTGGAACTCAAAGTTGCACTGTCACCAAATGCTAGAATATTCCAGACACTTGGTATCATTACTAATGCTATTGGGATTTAAAGAAATTAAGCAGTAAAACAAATAAAAAACATAACCTCATATTAGAAACAAAAAATATTTATTGTATTTGTTGTGAATGGTATAGTAGCTGCTCTAGAGTCAGGTTGCATGGCTTTGAATTTAGTAAGTCACTTACTAAATTATTATTTTTATATATTGTTGGACTTGACTTACACTTTATTTATTTGTTCAATGTTCATTAAGCACCAACTATGTGCCAAGAAGTTTTCAAAGCATGGTTCTACATTCAACTTGCAATATTTTGTGCTATTTTAAGGAAAAATTTTTAAATGTCAAATTTTAATTACTCATTGCAAGTTAACAGAAGTGCCATTGATTTTTGTACACTGACCTTGTATGAAACATTGCTAAACTCAATTGGTTTCAGTAGCTTTGCTGAAGATTTGACTGGTAGATTCTAGTTCTCTATCAATCTTGTTATCTGCAAACATAGTTTATTTCTTCTTCATTGTGAATTCCTTTATTTTTCTTTCATTATTTCCTGGCTCAAACTTGTAGTATAATGTTGTTGATGGGTATTGATGAGAGTGGCTATATTTGCCTTGTTCAGTCTTTCCCACTATACATGATACTGACTGTACATTTTTAGTAGATGCTTTTTATCAGATTAATTTCTAGTCCTGGTTTCCTAAGAGTTTCTTCTTTCTTTTTCTTTTTCTTTTTTTTTTTTTTTTTGGTGGGGGTCTTAGGGATTGAACTCTCAAGGGCACTTGACCACTGAGCCACATCCCCAGCCCTATTTTTGTATTTTAAAGACAGGGTCTCATTGAGTTGCTTAGAGCCTTGCTTTTTGAACTCCTCCTGCTCCAACTTCCCCAGCCCCAGGCATGTGCCACCAAGCCTGAACTGAGAGTTTTCTTTAAAACAGAAATGGATCATATGTTTTTCCTTTTCAGTTCATTAATATAGATTATGTTAATTGATTTTGAAAAGCTTGACCTTTGTCTTCCTGTGACCTCACTTGGTTATGATGTATTATTATTTTTATATATTGTTGGACTTGACTTACAAAAATTTTATTGAGAGTTTTTGCATCTATGTTCACGTTCACAAAAGACATTAGTGTTGGCCTCATAATTAGGAAGTGTTTTCTCATTTTCAATTTCCTGGAAGAGTTTGTGTAGAATTTGCACATTTTTCTTCCTTAAATGTTTGGCACAATTCTCTAGTGAAATTTTCTTTGTAGGAAAGATCTTAATTATAAGTTTGATTTCTTTAATAGATACAGAGCTATTCAGAGTATCTATTTCTTCTTGAGTGAACTTTGGAAGTTAGTGGAAATTTGCCCATTTCATGTAAGTTGTCAAATTTATTGGCATAAAGGTGTTCATAATATTTGCTATGGTCTGATTATGTCCCCCAATATTTTTATGTTGGAACTTAATCACCAATGTGATAGTATTGAGAGGCAATTAAGTCATGAGAGCAGAACCCTCATGGATCAGGAGGGAGCAGGAATCTTATAGTCAGAGACTAAGGGAGTGGGTTCATTCTTCTGCCATGCAAGGACATAGTGTTCATATCTTTTTGCATTTCTGTTTCTACCAGGTGAGGATGCCTCAAGAAGGTCCTCACCAGGCATTTTTTTTTGGCACTTTGTTAAGAATATATATTTTGGGGGGCTGGGATTGTGGCTCAGCGGTAGAGCGCTCTTCTAGCACGCGTGAGGCCCTGGGTTCGATCCTCAGCACTTCATAAAAATAAATAAATAAAATAAAGATATTGTGTCCAACTACAACTAAAAAAAAAAAGAATACATATTTTTTGTTCTTTTTATTTATACTCACCAGGCATCTTGGTCTTCGACTTCCCAGCCTCCAGAATTGTAATAAATAAATTTCTGCCTCCTTTAAGTTAAAAAAAAATGTTCTTTGTAAATTACCCAGTTTAAGGTATTTTGTCATAACAACAAGAACAATAAGACAATAGTCTTTTCTCATACTTTAAATAACTAGAATCTGTAGTTAGGTTACCTCTCTTATTGCTGATATAATTTCTTCTCTCTTTTTTAATGTTTAGTATGGCTGTGGCTTTGTAAATTATATTGATCTTCTCAAACAACCAGCTCTTATTTTCATTGATTTCACTTAGTTTTTCTGCTGTTCATTTCATTGATTTTTAGCTCTAACTAATTCTTCTGCTTACTTTAGGCTTCATATTCCCTGTCTCTCTTAGTTTCTTCACTGACATATGATATAGGCATTTTGTGTTATAAAACTCCCAATCCTGCCAAATGTGGTGGCAAACTCCTGTAATCCCAGCAGATCAGGAGGCTGAGGCAGGAGGATTGTGAGTTCAAAGCCAGCCTCAGCAAAAGTGAGGCGCTCAGCAACTCAGTGAGACTCTATCTCTAAATAAAAAATAAGGCTGGGGATGTGGCACAGTGGCCGAGTTCCCCCAGGTTCAATCCCTGGTACCTGCCCCCTAAGAACAAAAACAATAATACTCCCAATTCCTGCTTCTCACCTAGGAATCTGTGACAAACTGGAACATGGAGAATTTGGAGGAAGGCAGGTTATTTAGGACAGCTGAGATATCGTGAGAAGAGGTGAAGTAAGGAACACAGCTGGAGAAGATGGGGCCAGGTAATGAAGAGCTGTACCCTGAAGGCAGCCAGGAAGTGACTAGATCTTGTCTGCATTTTATATAGATCAATTTGGGGCTGTGCGGAGGTAGAAGCAGCTAGAGTTAAGAGGACTAGCTAAAGGGTGGTCTCATGTTAATCCTGATGACAGATGGTGCTGAGAGGGGATGAAGAAAACTAGACAGACTGAAATGACAGTAAGGAGTTGAAATAAATGTGAAAATTGGTGATGGACAAAGATGTGTGGGGCAGGACCATGAAGAGTCAGGAAGCAGTGAGTGCTGTCCATTCAGTGAGACAGAGAATGCAGACATACGTTATTGGCAGGCAGAGACCAGGAGGAGTGAGGCAGGAAGGATTTCAGTTTGGGCCACTGACTTTAAGGTGCCTGTGAGGCATCCAGGTAAATATATAGTAGGCAGGTGGAAATGTGGGTTTGGAGCTCTGGAGAAATATGTAGCCAGTAGCTGAATTTGCAGCCAGCATTGTATGAATTGCCAGTGGAATGTTGTTAGCAAAATAACTCATGGAAAATGTGCTGAATTAGGAGGAGGAATATGAAACTTTGGGGAACAAAGAGATTTTAGGGACCATCATTTTAGTATTAAGTAAATCATGGGCTTTTCCTTACAGTAATCAAGAGTCTGCTCCCTGAGTTTCAGGGAAGGTTTAATTTGATCTCCAGATTATTACTGACATCAACCATGCATAACATTATTGCCAAAATCCAGTATACACTTCAAATGCCAAGGTATGGGTCAGTCAAAACTAGTTACAAAAAGCCTAGTAAGAGTAAAACCAAGCTGGGCACGGTGAAACACACCTGTAATCCCAAAGGCTTGGGAGGCTGAGGCAGGAGGATCACAAGTTCAAAACCAGTATCAGAAAAAGTGAGGTGCTAAGCAATTCAGTGAGACCCTGTCTCTAAATAAATACGGCTGGGAATGTGGCTCAGTGGCCAACTGCCCCTGAGTTCAATCCCTGGTACATCACCCCGCCCCACCCACGAAAAAAGAGTAAAACCACAACAGTGACCAGGAGGACTCTCTGTAAAGAACAGAGAGCAGTGGGAGAAAACAACATGGTAGCTTGAGTGGTGTGCCTGGCCACACTGGGACATTATAAGGGTCTCTGCCCTCTGTGTAGACCCTGGTGGACAAGTGGGTCCTCCTTCAGGCTGGGAAAGCTTCCTTCTTTACTCTTAGGCACTGGAAGGCCTCACTTCACTGTGCACTCTGAGGGGCTCAGGGAGCTCAGACTGTGGGTAAGAAAAAGACCTCTTGGGGATATGGATACATGGACTTTGATGTCAGCTTGCAGTAAACTCTTATGATGTTCTGGGAACCTGTGTACAGAGGGAGGTGGGTGACAGGCTGAGATTTCAGGGGTTTTTCTCACAGTCACTGCAGGAGAACACTCTCTTCACTGTGTAGGTGTGGAGGAAGCCTGGAAGCAAAGTGGCCACATTCTGGACATGGGAAAGGTCTTTTCCCTCTGTGCCCATGCTGGTGACTGAACAAGTAAGGAGTTCCTCTTGCACTCAGAGCATGTGAACAGCTCCACCCCACTGTGCAGATGCATGCGGGTCCTAAGTTTTGACTCCTCAGTGAAGTCCTTGCCACCCTCAGTGGGGGAATGGCTCTCTCCCCAGGGTCCACATTGGCACTCCTCAGACAGCTTTTGTCACATTCAGGGTTCTGAAGGGCTTCTGTCTGTAGGCAGACTGGGGGTTAGCTAGACTTCTTTTCTGGGGAAGCTGCTGTCACACTTGACCAGGAGTCATGAGCCAACGATTCCAAAGATAACCAGAGCGAAAGTCCTGCCTACAGCAGCTGTAGGGGAAGAGCTTTCCCTCCTCCAGGGCTCAAGGCCCTGGAGATCTGAGGGCTCCCTGGGCTTCTGATAGCCCTCTGGATACTCACAGAGTGGCTTTCCTGCTGTTCCATTGGTTGGCTCTTCACCCAGGAACTTGCTTCACAGAGCAGGAGTAGGGTCCCCACACTGAAGAGCCAGGAGATGGGCAGAGCCCTGAGGGTGTGTGCTTTAGAAAGGAGTTTGAGGCTCTTGGCAGTGCAGGTCCTTCACATCAGCTCTTTGGGTAGTCGTTGAAAATACCGCATATCCTTTTTCTATAAACTTTCTAGAGCAGCCCTGTCTTTGATGACCACCCAAATGGCAGCCCTCCTCATGTGGGCTTACTGTTGTCTTGCTTTCCTGGAACTTAAAAGAAGTATCCAGTTATTCATGACTGATTGTTAACCAGATTAAAGAATAACTCTAACGTGGACCCCAAAGTGAACCAGTGACGGTGACCTTGGCCATTGTAAAATATCTAGTTTTCCACAAGAACTTTTTTTTCCCTTAAAAAACGGCAGCCTTGGGCTGGAGTTGTGGCTCAGCAGAACAGCGCTCGCCTCCTGCGCGCGAGACCCTGGGCTCGGTCCTCCACACAGCGTAAAAACAAATAAATAAAATAAAGGTATTATTTCCGTCTACACCTAATATATATATATATTTAAAAAATTAAAAATAAAACAGGCAGCTTCCAGTAACATCGCTAATACAATTAAACCACAAGATTCATTTGCAACAGACAGATCCACTATTGGACAGGTGACAAGGGATCATGAAGTGTCTTGGCTTACCTAGCTGCTCAGTCCAGGGCTTAATTTAATAAGATCAAACTGTAATTCGCATTTTTCTGCTCACGAGCCACAGAACTGGCTCAATTCTCAGTCCTTCCCCCGCTGATGTCAATGACCCCGCCCCGGCACCTGGTAGCACCTGAAGACTCTGCATTGCCTGAGCCCTCCTGCGAGGTTCCATCGAGGGTCCAAGACCGGTGTGGAGTCTGGGAGATCTGAGACACTCAAACCGCAGCAGAGAAGTTCTGAAAGCGGAGGCCGCGTTGTGGGCGGGGCCTGCCCCCCTGGACCCGCCCCTGGCGCCGTTGCCGTGGAGACACGCAGGGCTTCCTGGGAACACTGCCTCTCCCGCGCTTAGCTGCAGCGTGAGCTTGGCTCCCACAGTGCCGCCTGCTGGCAGGATGCGAAAAGAGCTCACGCTGCCCCGACCCGCGTCGGAATCTCGATGGGTCTTCCAGGCGCAGAACAGTGGAAATCAATACAGTTCTGACCTCTTCCTCTTTGGGTTACGCAGCTTAGGAAATTAGGAAATGGTTAGCTCCTTTTTGTGTCTCGATTTTTGCTACTTTGCACGTTCTTCCTTCAAAAAGGAATTGTCATCACACAGCCAATTCACTCCTTCATCCACCCTCCTCACTCACCTATTCACGATGGTGGTTTTCAAGGTTCTGGAAAGATTTGGGCTCCTCCAGCTTTCCCCTGAGGACCTGGGGATGTGGGGAGTGATGGTAAGGTTCTGTATCCTTCAAAAGATGGTGTCTTGAGGACCTCCATAGTCCACTGGACACAGCAGATCGCAGTGGATCAGGCTTTCATGGAGCCAGTGATTACCGACAGGCCTGCTGGGTGCTTCCTTGGTCCTGATCCCCGTGACCACTACCTAATTCTTAAACGCTGTTCTGCCTTGACACCATGTATTTGTTTTCCTCTGACTACTTTATCCCAGATTTATTCTGAAGGGTCACACCAGGGGCATCCATACTGCTGCCTTGGTTCCCTGCTATCTCATTGTCAGGATTCTCAAGTATGAACCAGGAACCTTCACTGCCCTCCAAAGGGCTATCAAACCACTCACTGTCTAGACTTGATGGGAGTGGGCAAAGGCCATCAATCAGTCTTTAATGCAGGGATCTTGTTGAAACATTCCATTCGATATTTCAAATGGGATGGATGGATGTCAAAGGCTAAAGTAATGAATCTCACCTTGTAAGATTTCCTGAGACCATTGTGGCCATCCTTTGGTACTCCAGACCCAAGCAGCTGCTTAAAATATGACTTACTGTTTGAGGTCAAGCCCACAACTTCTATGAGTGCTGCTTGAGCCTCTTAAAGTATATGTATGTTGCTGACTTGGAACAAGGTGGTCTTGGAGAAAGTGGTGAGGAGAGATTAACTCTGGATATATTTTGAAGGTGAAAATACCAGGATTTGATAGAATGGGTGAGAGTTTTGAGAAAAACTATGCAAATTTTCAAAATTTCTCAAAAGAGAAGTCAAAGACAATACCAAGATTTGTGACCTGAGAAGCTAGAAGGTAGAGTTTCCTTTCACTGATGATAGAAGAAACAGGACAGGGAGGAAAAAATGAGAATTTGGAATTCAAATGTTGAATTTGAGATGTCTGAGAGACATCCAAATTGTCATGGTGAGAAACTACCCTTCTATCCTTTCAATACACCAAAAATGCACTTTTCAATCAGAAATTGTTGCCTTGCCCTCAGCAACCTCTCGCTTACCTATTTTGTGAGTCTGCCCTTTATGCATACTCTACTGGCAGATTCTCATCAGGCAATGGTTTCCCCTGGAGCTGTTCTCATAGAGTGAGCTCATAGTTAAGAATGTCTACAGCTTCCATTGCAGTGGTTTGTTCCCATTTCATTTTAAAACATAATCAAACTGCCTTTTGTCAATTACACCCAAGAGTTTTTGCATTTTTATGTTTTAATAATTCTAATCTGCCTAATTTTAGGGTGACAGGAACCTCCCTAAAAAAAAACTGTCTTGGTAGAATGAGACAATGAGTTGCATCCCATCTACAAGAAGTTTCCATTTCATCCCTAAATAATCCCTTTGTCCCCAAATTATAAATGGTTCCCATTAGTTCTTGGATTGCTTTTCGTCCCCATTTAAACAAAGAATCCCTTTCATTAGTGTTTTGTCTCTTCAAGATGATGCTGGGCCTATGTGATTTTTAAACTGAACACTTGGTTTTCCCCCCATGTGCTTTTCTTTCATATTTGGACCCCCCTCGCCCCACCCTCCACTTTTGCAACAAACTAGCTTAGGTAACTGTGTTGGCCTTTGGTGTCTGAGCACCTGTTGTTTCTTAGCCCTGTGCATTTCCTGGATTTCCAAATTACATGCAGCGAAAGGAATCCCTTCTCTGAAATCAGACCTGCAGAGAGCATCAGCATGGTCACTAACCAGGTTTGAGACTGTGGGTTAGACATTTATTGTGATTTTGTGGCCCTCTCTGTAACATTAGAGTATGAGAAAAATTCCTACTTGTATTTTAGAATTCTAAAAGGATTTAGAATTATATTTTTTCTATATATTTTGTATACATTATATATATATATATATATATATATATATATATATATATATATATATATATATATATAAAATGTTTAGGGAGTCTTCAGGACCCCTGTGGGATAGTGAATTTTACATTTCAATTTTCTGTTATGCTTTAAAATTTCAAAATTTTGTTATTTATATATATATTTAATGGACTTTTATTTTATTCATTTATTTACATGCTATGCTGAGAATCAAACCCAGTGCTTCATACATGTAAGGCAAGCACTCTACCACTGAGCCACAATCTCAGCCCCTACATAAATTTTTTTTTTAAAGAGAGAGTGAGAGAGAGAGAGAGAGAGAGAGAGAGAGAGAGAGAGAGAATTTTTAAATATTTATTTATTTATTTTTTAGTTTTCGGCAGGCACAACATCTTTGTATGTGGTGCTGAGGATCGAACCCGGGCCGCACACATGCCAGGCGAGCGTGCTACCGCTTGAGCCACATCCCCAGCCCTCCCTACATAAATTTTTAAAAAATATTTTTTTAGGGGTTGGGGTTGTGGCTCAGGAGTACCATGCTCACCTAGCATGCTTGAGGCACTGAGTTCAATCCTCAGCACCAAATAAATGTAAAATAAAGATGTCATGTCCACTTAAAACTAAAAAATAAATATAAAAAATTCTTTTTTAGTTGTAGATGGACACAGTATCTCTTTTATTTATTTATTTTTATGTGGTGCTGAGGATTGAACCAAGTGCCTCACACATGTGAGGCAAGCACTCTACCACTGAGCCACAACCACAGCCCACACAAATTTTTTTTTTTGCATAAAGGTAATCACACCTGGGTTTTTTCACTGTTTTGTTTACTTCACCCACTTCCCCCTTTCATCACATATGCACATCTATGATGCAATCATAAAAACTGAACAGAAAAGAGGATCAAACTCTCAGTAAAAAAAAAAAAAGGGTAAAACTAGTGTTTACACAATTCACCTTCTACTTACTCTCTTGTTTTCCACCTGTTGGATCTTCTGTCCTACTTTTTGGGATCCAACTAATTCTACTGAGATTTTTAAGATTTCAACAATCATAGTTTTAAAAACTTCTTAGTACTTATTTTTATTTCTAGATGTTTCCTTTTCCATAAAACTATATTTTTGTTTTATGACAAAGATAACTTCTCCAGGTTTTCTGAATAGGTGTTTTTAACTTTTGGCCAACTATGGTAGCACATGCCTAACACAGGAAGCTGAGGCAGAAGGATTGCAAGTTGGAGGCCAGCCTCAGCAACTTAGCAAGACCATTTCAAAATAAAATCTAAAAAGGAGTTGGGATGTAGTTCAGTGCTAGAGTGTTTGCCTAGCATATGCTAGGCCCTGGGTTCAATCCCCAGTACCACCAAAAAATAAATTAAAAAATATAAATAAATAAAAGTTAATTAGCTTTTGTTCCTGAAGTAAATGATTTGTTTAGGACATTTTTTACCCTTTTATCTTGGTCTTTCTTTTTCAGGTAAAATTTATTTCTTCAAATGTTGGATAATCTGCTGGGCATTTTAGTGCATGCCTATAATCATAGTGACATGGGAGACTGAGGCAGGATTGTAAGTTTGAGGCCAGCCTCAGCAACTTAGTGAAACTTTACCCCTCCCACCCCACCCCCTGCCTTAAAAAAAAAAAAAAAAAAGGACTGGGAATGGGAATGTGTCTCATTGGTAGAGGAGCTGGATTCAATCCTCAGCATAAAAATAAATAAACAAATAAGTTTGATAATCTTTGTGTATTCATTCATATTTAGAAGGTAGCAACAGTCAATTTAATTAGGATCTTTGTATAATTGACCATGTAATTCTTCTCCGCAAAATATCTTTAAAGCTAGTGTTCCAGAGAAAAATCATTTGTGAAACATTGTTTTAGACTACAGTCTACTGATAAATCTAATTTTCTATCATCCCTCAGAATTTCAGGTCAGCCCTCTGAAAATTAGGAATTCTTTGTATAGAGTATGACTCTGACCCTAAGTATGTACACAACTTTCATCTAACATGGCAATCGGGGTAGCCCTCACCTGTTTCCTGGACTTATTTGTATTACTGCCAACATTTGCTTGGAAATTCCCTAAACTCTTGTTGCCTACAATGCATCCTGGTTCACCTGTTTAGCTCCATTACTTTGTCATAAATTAGCCTTTAATCAACTGCTCACGTGTTCACTCTTGAGAGGTTCACTCACTCAGCTTCAAGTAGCATCTCTCTTCTGGAACTCCCAAGGATCTACCTCCTGACTCAACCTCTCAGCACCTGTAGTTTTTTGTTTCTTCTCAGATTAGCCACATTTTGCTGAAACCATCAGCATTTCCTTAGGAGGAACTATGTATAATCACTATGAGCCCTTCAGCATTCACATAAACAGAGGAGAGATTCAGAGAATTCATCTTACGGCTATCAGTTTCAAAATAAATAAGCCAAAATCAAATCCAAGGGCATATCAAGCCAGCAACAGAATTCACTGGACTTAACCCACAGAATCATATTCTGAAAAAAAAAAATAAAAAGTAGAAATGGCATTTAATAGATACCACATACTTTCAGAGGATGTACTGGAGGGATTTCCTTAGATCTTATTCAAGCTGGGATTTTATGGAGCTAGCTTAGCATTTGGGCAAAAATTACCGCCTAAGAAGGCAAGAAGAAATACCTCTTTTTATCAATGGATAGAAAATATAATTGATAGTTTCCCTTTTTTTTCTTTGCTTGAGGTCCCAGGGATTGGACCCAGGGCCTCACATGTGTTAGGCAAGTACTACCACTGATATATCTCCAGCGTATTGATGTTTTGGAAGAGAAAATCCTTTATGGTCTCCTATATTCCTAATTTTTATTACATTCTTGCTCAAACTAGGACCCCTGTTGCTAAAATTTGTCTACTGGTGTGCTTACTGCGTTGCTGAGGATCGGGGCAACATCAGCTCTGCTTACTGCTCCCGGGCCCGCCCTGCCTCAACTCCAGTCAGCCTCTATCATGGCAAAGAGTTGGCTAAGCCTTTTCTTAATGTCAGGCTCACTCGGAGCGCGGCAGGATTTTGTGTGCACCCTGATGTGCTCCGCCAGCTTGGACCTATAAATGAAGCCCTTCCCACAGTCGCCACAGGCAAAGGGCCTCTCCGGCCTGTGGATGCGCTGATGCCGGAGCATGTGTCCCCTTTCCCGGAAGTTCTTATCACACTCAGGGCAGTGGAAGGGTCTCTCCCCTGTGTGCAGGCCTTGGTGGCTGAGCAACTGTGCCTTCAAGCGGAAACTCTTGTCACATTTGGGACACTGGAAAGGCTTCTCCCCGGTGTGCGTCCTGATGTGTTCCACGAGCTTCGACTGCTTGGCGAAGCCCTTGCCACACTCACAAGAGAATGGCATCTCCCCGCTGTGCAGCAGCCGGTGCGCCTTCAGGTCAGCCTTCACGCGATAGCACTTGTCGCACTCAGGGCACTGGAAGGGTCTCTCTCCCGTGTGCAGGCGCTGGTGGCTAAGCAGCTGCCCCTTCAGGCGGAAGCTCCTGTCGCACTCTGGGCACTGGAAGGGCCGCTCGCCGCTGTGCACACGGAAGTGCTCGGTGAGCTTGGACTGCCGGGTGAAGCCCTTGCCGCACTCGGCGCACGAGAAG